TGTTGTTCATACACCCCATTTCTCCTCGACCTAAACAGCAAGATTACCTTTACGGTATCCTTCAATTTTACTCCTCTTCAAAAAAGCATTTGTGAATGTGTGCAGGGATCTGTGGCACAATGTGATGAGAGTGTGCTGGTTGACACACTTGAATTAGCGGTAACCCGTGCATTAATTTTTATTGACGTGACCTGAAGATTTTAGCTATGAGTGTTTGTGGTACTCGCGGGACAAGTGAAGGGGAGGATGACCATGAGGATTTACAGTCCGTCATCAGCAATCTGATGTTCGCATTTGGTGATGGGATAGAGCCACTTGAAGAGTAGGTTACAGGGTTTATTTGCAAATAATCGAATTTCGATGTGAGATAAGGAATGAAATATCCGAAGAATTATGCCAATTGTTTTGAACGTATCAGGCAAAGATTTGTTGCGGTTCTTTTTTGCATTCGTTTAATACCGAGGATATTAGTGTGAAACAGTTCAGAGAGCATCCGTATGAAGTATGGCCATCGTGCATGTGAAAATTTTGGTAAGGTAAAAATTCTCTGTTTAGATGCCAGAAATTGGTAATGAATGTTGTGCGCAGTCAAATGATCGGAATCGTGAAAGAGGCTGAGAAGACGGCTCGTAGTCGAGGGTTTGTTCGTGTTGATATGATTGTTGTTGTCCAAAAAAAGAAACCGTATAAGACGGGGAATTGTTGCTGAAAGTATTTTTCAGTGTACAAATTTCAGCAGTCGAAAAATTCAAATGGTTGATATACTGTTCCAATTTCGACGTCATCCAGTTCAACTAAACCGAATCTTTCAGTATCTCAAGGTATCATCACTAATATTAATTCAGCATTTCTCCTTTTTGAGGTAGTAATAGTAATAAAAAATTAATTTTAATAATAATAATAAGAAAAAGAAGGAGAAATTCTTGATTGGCTCAAGCGCTCAATGATTCATTCATTAAATACGCATCCAATTTACGCAGTCTGTTCACTGAAGCTAAGTCATTCATGATTAATTACTCACTTATTAATTACTATCAGCAAAAAAGGATAATAACTGTTGTAGTGAGGATAATACTACTGATAAACGATACGAACAGTGATAGTATTAAACCTGATGGTAATAATAATATTCATATCCAAAGGTCAATAAATTGAAATTTTTGAGTCAGCGGATGTGTTACGATCAGCTAAACAATCTTTATTGAGCGTTTCTGATGTGAACGCTGAATCGGTGGATGAAATGGATTTTATATCGCAGTTTGATGATGGTTTGAAGCAAGACGTCAAATCAACTCTTTACGGTAAAGAGTAAGTTTATTTCGATTGGAATATTCATCTAAGATTTTTTGAATGAACATTTCCTAAAAACCTTCAAATATCCCTCTTATCATCTCAATTTTTTACACTTTCGAAATTTATGAAAATGAATTAGGGGTTTAAGGTGATTCATCCTCNCCTTCACATCGCGCTATCTCAAAAAGCGAAATATTGTCATCAATTTAAAACAGATCCAAGATTAAAATGAGTTTTTACAGTGCGCAAGCAATGTATCAGGCCCTATCGGTATTCGATGAAACGGGTGAATTACGTGAGAGTCTTGATAAGTCAGTGAAAGAGGATGACGAAAAAATGGAGCGAATGCGACGTTTATATGAACGCGGTGCAGCTATGGATCGGGATTTATACCAAAAGTATGCAAAAGCTCGAATGTGTTCCATGTGTACAATCAGCGGGCGAAGGTACGATGCAATTCGATTTTTGTATCAGTTACTCATGGAGTCAGCTCCTTTTCATTCATATATTTTTTGAGGCTCGGTGAAATGTTCTTTCCTTTGCGAACTCGCTTCTGTATTGTTTTTCTACAGAAATTCTCTACAGTATCCGAATAGTTTCATCAGCAGATGTAATGTTTTAAGGAGCGAACGATCGATTCGTCGTTTTTTGAACTGGTTGGGCGGCGTTGATGTGGCTACTGACACCGTCACAATACTCAGTTATTTAGCATCCGAAATTATTTATGTGGTTGTGGAAGGGGCTGTTTTCTCACGGCAGTCCGAGCCAGAACGACTTTATCAAAATGATTATCCGGCAAATTCATTGCAACTTCGACATTATGAAGAATCTCTAAGAAGAAATAAGGGTTATATGAAGAATGGCAGTATTCTTGTCGGTTATTTCTAAGATGTTCACTCACTTTTTCATCTCTCAGGATCCGTTTCGAAGTGTTTATGCTGAGTCGTTTTAATTCTCGTATTTGGTGATGTGAATTTTTTTCTCTTGATTATTGTGCACTTCATCATTATTCTGCGGTCTGGTAGATACTCATTCATGCAATATCGAGATTGCTAGAGTTTATTTCATTACTTTGTTTGAGATATGATCGTATTTACGTTTGCTTCTATTGATCTGCTGAATTTAGCTGTGGCAAAATTTCGTGGGATTTCACTTTCGTGAAATTCCTTAGAGAAAAAAGACAATAACTAATCCCCAGTGTAGTTTGGTATTTATTGTTGATAAAAACTCAATCCACTCCAAGCTATGCGATGGACTGAACCAAACTTTTGATAATCACAATCTGTCATATCAACCATTTCTGTTCATTCATCTTTCATTTTTTNTTTTTTCATTCACTTTTCTTCAGCAATTCTCTGTGAATTGCTAATTTGCTTTGTATTTTCCACTTTGTCATTGCGTTCATTTTATCATATTTTTGAATATGTCTGTAAATTCATGTTCATATGGTTGCAATCAGTTTAATGTGTGGCATATTTTACGAAATAAAGTCTTGGATGCATCAGATTCGAACATCTCATAAAGTTGCAGCAAAACGCTTTTTTAAAGTCACATTGATTGAGTAACCAATGATTTTGATTGATTTCTTGTCGCATTTCGGTCTCAAGCAGTCGTTTGAAGACAAGTCCATCAACTGAGAAAAACTTTTGATTCATTTCCATTTCAACTGCTTTCGCCGGCCAAATCCACTGGGGATTTCTGATGGCAGACAAGAAATTTAAAGGCACTTCTCATTTAAACATCATCATACTCTCTTAAGCAATACTCATTCATTCTTGGTGTTCACGTATTTTTCGTGTAAACTGAATGTGGGTTTTCGTGGTCGAATTCGATTATGAATGAGTTCGTATCGTATAGATAGTAGGTTGGAGAACTGAAGTTAAGTGTTGTGGATGTTTTTAAAAAATTGTTTAAAAGAACCTTTATTGTTCCAGTTTGTTGTTTTGAAATTTTCATTACTCGCTTGATTGGTTTAGTGTGATGTTCTCATTATAAGATATGATAATTTTCACCTGATGGGGAATTGAGGTTGTCTGAGGGCGAGGGAGTTGGGGAGGTTTGCAAATCATTTTTGATCGTCGTGGTTTCATGACAAGTTGATTGATTCCTTTGTTAATTAGCAACGAATTCTCGGCAGCAAAGTTTCTGACCATCCTTCTGTCAATTCTTTGTTTTTCTGCTAATTTGTTTCTATGAAATAGCAGAGGAAGGGGTGTGAGCGCAACAATGTGAGGATTAATGATCTGCAATAAAGATGGTTTTGGATAGGCCGTTGATGTATATTCACGTTGCACATGTGTCTCATGTATGTTACTTGGATAACTGGATTTGGTATATGGGTGTGTGTTTGTTTGTGTTTGTGTATGTTCGAGAAGAATGAGTGAATGAAACGCTAAGTGGATTATGTGGATATCTTGGAAAAGATGATTACTGTGGAATGGAAGCGTGTGGTAGCTCGCTGACTGACCTGCTCGACAAACGCCGACGATCAGCTGCCTATTTGGTGCATCCCCGATCGAATACAGTCACCAGATATTCTGTACCGAACTCAAAGCGACATAATCCTGTAATTCTTTTAATACCTGAATCAATTGCTCATATCATATTCGTTCGTTATTTTCGCCTGGTAATTTTTTAACACAACTAAACGAATGCCACTGTGTGGACGAAAAATGAGACCGTCGACGAATAATATGATTATTTCATTTTATTTTTTTAAAATTCCATTGTTCATTTTTTGTTCATGGCAGTTTCACGTTTAGCTGCTGTTCGGCCAGTGCATTCTTCATACATTTATTTCGTATGTCATGTATCCTCCTTCTGTGCTAGGTCATTTCGGGACGCCATATTTTGCTGCATCAAGCAGTGACTCTTATGAACAAGCAAACAATGCACGCTCAATACTTTTTATACTTATCCCAAGCACATTGCGATTTTTGCTACTGAATATTGCACATAATCGGTAGCGTCTTACACAGGAGGAGAGGGGCTGAG